TCCTCCTCCTCACTCTCCTCCTACTCCCTCACTCCCCTACCCTATTATCCTCCTCCTCACTCTCCTCCTACTCCCTCACTCCCCTACCCTATTGTCCTCCTCCTCTTCCCACACTCTTGTCGTCACCTTGGGGGATGGATTGGTCAGTTGCGTTGACAGTGTCGAGGTGGGAGTGACCAAGCGCAGGGAGGTGGGTGGCTAGTTTAAGGCAGAGTGGGGAGGCGGGAGGAGGCTCTGTCCTCCATGCTGAAATCAGGCCGGCCAATGAGCTGTAACCTGTCTAATGAATGGCTCTTGTCAGAGCAGGGGGCCGTTGCTGGAGGTACGCTGGGAATCATCTGGACAAGGGCTTCCCGATGAAGGTCAAGGCCATGGGTCTGCCTCGCCACCCAGACGCAGCTTTCTACTTCCCGCCACTGAGCCACGTGGTAATTTTCAAAGGGTCAAAATACTATGTCCTGAACGAAGAGCTGATGCAGGTGGAACAGTATTATCCTCGGACACTCAGCGATTGGAAAGGGGTCCCCATTGGCATCAATGGCGTCTTCACCTGGAATGAGAAGCGAACCTATTTCTTCAAAGATGAGACTTACTGGAAGTTTGACAACAGCAGACTCAAGGTGCTGCACCAGGGCAAGTGGGCAAAGGAACTGGAGTGGGCTGGCTGTTATCACAGGAATGGAACGGAACCTGGGAGCCTGAAAACGTGACGCAAGCAGAACATGGTACTCAAACAGCGCTCCTTTCTGGAGGCGTGAGATTTTCCTGCTCTTGTGAAAACTAGTGTTTGGAGCTACAGCACACCACAGGGAGAAAATAACACAATGAGAGGCTACAGAGGAAACCCAAACACAATGCAGGAGACCACACACCTCTGTCATATAGACAAGGGTATTAAATAACTCAAGGCACATTCATAGGATATCTGATTCCCCTAATGCAGGAACATGAAAGAACATTCAAAAAACAGGCATGGCATATCCAGTACCGCAAACATATTGACAGAGGATAGAGTACCCCCACACCCAGTAAGAGAAAAGGAAAGCACACAGAAAGGGTAATTTTTCTACATGCTGTTAACTCAACGTTATCACAATAACACAGCTCTTCCTTGGGGCTTTTCCCTATCTGGTCGGTGCTTTGTAACTACAAATCTTAATTTTTTTTATCAAGAGCCTCCCGCTCGCTGAGTAGGCTTCAGACTAATCCACATCCAGTAACCTGCTGTGAAAACTCTGCTCACATTTTGACAGTTCAAACAAATTCCACAGCAGCGGCTCAGACAACCTACAACGTTCTAAAAGATAGTTGATGTGCCGTTTCTCCTAATGTTAATGGATCCATGGGGACATAGATGGGGAAACAGGCCCTTCGGCCTAACTTGTCCATGCTGACCAGGTTTCCTAAACTGAACTAGTCCCATTTGCTTTAAAATATTCCAGAATTCAGATCTGACCCTTTGCAAAAACCTCTTCAGTTCCTACCTGGCTCATATCTTGCCTGTGTATCAGTTCTTGTTGCAAAGTGACCATTAGTTTTGGAGATAAATTGTCCCAGCTCTCCCAATAGGAAGATGGGCATTGCAGCATGTGCTGGAACTATGCCAAAGTGCCAATGTGGCTGACCCAGTGGGAATTATTTGTGAAGTTAAAACTTCTCATAGGCCAATGTTTAGAACCCCCTGAAAGGGTCTCCAACTCTGAGTTAGAGTTACAGACTTTGGTCGGGGGGGGGAGGGGGTCTGTGGTTTGACATACTTAGCTTAATAGTTACTCAGGGAAAGACCTCCTGGTTGACTCTAAAGCTGACCTATCGACAACTCACCACACGTGACAGCCCCATCCTAGATTTGACCTCAATCCGACTTCTCGCTCTCTCTACCTGACCTCCCATGACCCGATCCTTCACTCCCTCTGTCTGTCACCTCACCCTATAGCTTAGGAGGAAGGTATAGAGTACCCTATACAGAAAAACGAAAGTATAAATTACCCTACATGCAAGAATGAGGATATACAGCACCCTACACAAGGATGATAGAATAAAGTTCCCTATATATTAGGATGAAGGTGTAGATATCCTGTACACAAAGATGAAAGAACAAAGTATCCTGTACATAGGGGTGAGAGTATAGAGTACCCTGTAGTCAAAGATATGGGTATAGAGTAACCTATACATAAGGAAAAGCGTATACAGTATGCTATACACAAGGAGCATATGGAGCTCCCTATACATTGGGTGAGATTATAGAACACCCTAAATACAAAGAGCACACTGTACACAGGATACAGTATATTGCCATGTTGAGGTTAGAGCTACCTGACCTTTCAATCCTCTGTGCAAATATCAATGTATCATAGGCCAAACTGTAAAGCCACCTGTTCATATAGTCTCTCAATTCTTCAAAACAAAGGCAGAGGGAAAGGGCAGAAAATGCAAGCTGAATTTTGTTTAGTTTCACTGGTAATTGTTTAAAATAACTTTACCTCACATCCTATTATTGGTTATCATTTATACTGTTATCTACACTGATATCCTATCCATATGTATTTGTATGACAGTTTAACAGTAATCTTTGGAGCTTGCTGACAGTGCTGCAAATTGGGACAACATCACAGAATCTTCACTCACTGTGAGCGTTACTCCCTCTATGTCGCTGGGGAGAGAGTTGGGGGGTGGTCAGCTCTTCCTTGACATATTTCCCACGGTTTCATCACGTGACCCAGTGCCTCTGAGAGCCACACCCCCACCCTCCTGCCATTGGTGGCTGGACACACCCATCCCCAATGGGGGACTGCCTTCCAACAGCCAATAGGAAAGTGAAAAGTTGGTTGGATAATTCTTAACAATCAGCAAATGCTAATAAGCAAAAAATAATTCAAAGGAAAGGGAGGAAGAAACGTATGAGTTTTAAAGCCCTGATGATAACCCCCAGGTTTGTTCGCAACTTTGTCCTGAAAATGTATCACTCAATCACAGAGATTCCAGGCCATTCCTGCGGAATAGGCAGACCTAAGGTCAGGGTATGTACAGCAACACAGGTCTAATCATTTGTCCTTTTTGCTCAACCAAAGTTTTGATGAGGCTGTGTATTTATGTTAATCATTCTGAGCTGTAATTAAACCAAAACTGCCTTCTAAGAATGCAATTTCTTCTGTTTCAGCCACTCTTCACTCAATGAGAACTGCAACCGATCAAACCATGAACCCAATCGCTTGTAGTCATAGTCACACAGCACAGAAACAGACCCTTCGGTCCAACCAGTCCACAGCGAACATAATCCCAAACTAAACTAGTCCCCCGTCGCCTGCTCCTGGCCCATATCCCTCCAAACCTTTCCTATTCATGTCCTTATCTAGCCGTCTTTTAAAAGTTGTAACTGTGCCCAAATCAACCACTTCCTCTGGAGGTTCATTCCACACACAAACCTCCCTCTGTGTAAAAAAATTGCCCCTCATGCCTCTTTTAAATATCTCTTCTCCGATCTTAAAAATGTGCCCCCAAATCCCTCATCTTAGGGAGAAGACACCTATCACTAACCCTATCTGCCCTCATACTTTTAGAAAACTCTATAAGGTCACTTCTCAATCTCCTATTCTCCAGTGGAAAAAGTCCCAGCCTTTCTTTATAACTCAAACCCACCATTCCCGGCTACATCCTGGGAAATCTCTTCAGCACCCTTTCCAGCTTAATAATATCCTTCCTATAACTAGGCACATGTATGACTCCCCTTCATTTCCTGAACATATCTTTGATTCCTGCATTACAATCAATCTTTACTGTGTATTGCTGGAAGAAGACATGCTTTTTCAAAGCTATTTATCTTACACTTATCAGGATAATTCGCAATAATAATGTGAAGCATTAAAGTAACAGCATTTTTAAACTGTATAAGCAAATTGTGGCATGTGGACTTTGGTAGAGATGCTGCCCTTGGAGAATGTACCAGTTTGATGATGACTGACAACTGACTGCCAAGTTTTGTTTAAATTTAAACCAGGCAGGTTGACTCTGATTGGTCAAGGCCCTGAGGAATGAACCAATGAATAGTTGTTACCTATTTAGTTTAGTTGAAACAAGCACAAGGAGTGCACATGTCTGCAAATAGGGAGCCATGCATTCATATATGTAGCTTCCAGTACATGTAAGTGCACCACACTGTTAGTCCAACTGGCAATTTAAGTTGGTTTTCAGTGTAATTCTTAGCACTCTTAGGATTATTCAACAAATGCTGGCCAATTGCAAAATTACATGCAATGTTGGACACTTAAATTCATTAATCTCAAGCAAGTTCCATTTTACTGTTAACCAAATAGTCTTAGTTTTGCACCTACCCTCTAATATTGGGATCATTATCATTGTCCATTTACTTTAGGAGCTGTGTCTTCTCTTTCTGCCCTGCCAAACCCTTCAAGCAGCCAATGCATTCCATTGTTGTCTGGTCTTCTAAGTCTTGGCATTTTTCTCACGTTGATATTATTGCTGATTCGATTTAATTCCAAACACTCTGCTGTGTGTATGCTCCCAGAAATCACAGCATGCTACCATCTAACTTGTGTCATTAGCAGTCTATAAACTGCAGCAGTCTGAATCAATGGGAACAATGGGATACGGGGACCACAGCCATTGCATTATAGTTATTCTCTCGTTTGTTTGGAGCAAGGCCTTTTATTACAACCTTAAACAAGGCAGTTCAAATGGATGGGATGGAACAAGGTGGGTACCAGACAACACTGCTTTTAACCCCTCTATAACCCCTCTTTTCAAGTGACACAAAGATTTAAGATCAAACGCCAAATAGTCGAATAAAATCCATTTATCATTGTCACAGTTGTTCACTCTATTCACTTCAAATACTGTTTGACTCCTGACAGTAATGGAAATGGGCGTGGTATTTTCCCAGGTGATTGCCTTGTAACATCTGCCGTGTATGATACTGGCTAAGGGTTGTCTGAGGTAGTTTGCAGTCACCAATCCCCCTTTCCCTTTGCTTTGTCTTGGACCTATCTGATGGTCAGTGGTAGAGGATTTACCACTGTTCAGTATCTACAGAAGGGGCTCTTTCTTAGTTAACAATAAGGTTTATTGCACGATAGCAACAAGTACAACTACACTTGGTCAGGTATCATTACTAGGACCTTGGGGACCTGCTACAGATAGACCTTCTCCCTCCAAAAGCTCAGGTGAGCTCAACCCAGCGAGCATGCCACATCAACAATGGCTCTTGCCGTTGTAACATGAACCCCTTCAGAACCAGTCCCTTAAATCTTCCACTGGGACATTGGTAAAATAAGTGAGTGGGCAAAACTGTGACAAAGAGAAATTAGTGTTGGGAAGTGTGAGGCCATCTACATTAGACCCATCAATTCTGAGGTGTTTATAAATGATGCGAGGTTAGGGACTGCAGAGGGCCAGGGAGAAAATGAAAAATCAGGTTAAACGTCCAATTAAACATTAGCCTTTAACTGAAAGGGGCTGTTGTTCCTGCAGTTGGGTAAAGCTCTGATTCAGATCCTATTTAGAATTCAGTCCAGACTAAAGTATCCTTGACGTTGGAGGTGCAGTGCAGATTTTTCTCACATTCATTCATGAGATGTGCTCATCGCTGACAAGGCCAGCATTAATCGACTCTCCCCATTTACTCCTGAGAAGGTAATGGCCACTTATTGAACCAATGCAGTCTATGTGATGCAGGTCTGCCCACAATAGCGAGGCAGTGGGCCTAATGCTACTATTGCAGGACTGTTACTTACTCCTGAGACTCTGGGAAACTGGGTTCAAATCCGGCCACTGCAGATGGTGGAAATTGAATTCAATAATAAAAAAATCTGGAATTATGAGTCTAATGATGACCATGAATCCATTGTTGAGGGAAAAAGCTCGTCTGGTTCACTAATGTTCTTTAGGGAAAGAAACTGACATCCTTACCTGGCCTGGCCTACATGTAACTCCAGCACATGTGTCTTTTAGCTGCCCTCCAGGGATGGGAAATACATGGTCGCATAGCCAGCGATGCCCTCATTCCGTGAATAAACAAAAAAACACATAGGGCTATTAGGATGGGAATTCCAGAGATTTGTCCACTTCCATTTCCAAATATGGTGGGTATTCCCACCCACTCCTGACCTTGTTCTCCTCAGTGCAGTTGAAGGAAGCTTGGGCATCTTGTAGATGGCACACCCTGCTGCCATTGTGGTGAAGGTGGTGATCAGGGTGCCAATGAACAAGCCTCTTTGTCCTTGGGTGGCATTGAATGCCTTGAGGAGCTGCAACCATCCGGGCTTGTGGAGTGGGTTTCCATCATGTGTGCTTTGTGGCTGGTGGGTAGGCCATGAGGAGTCAGGAGGTGAGTTACCCATATCAGAATCCTAGCCTCCGAACTGTTCTTGTAGCCCCAGTGTTTAGATGCCTGAACCAGTTCAGTTTTTAGTCAATGGCGATGGTGGTAGTGTCATTAATGATGATGCCATTGGATATCAAGGGGAGGTGGTTAGATTCTTTGTTGACGGTGATGGTCATTGGCTGAAATTTGTGTGGCATGAACATAATTTGCCCTTTATCAGTTCAAGCCTGGAGGTTGTCCTAGTCAGGCTTCAGTAACTGAGGAATCGCAATTGGTGCTGAACATTGCACACTCATTGGCGAACATTTCCACTTCTGACTTTATTACGGAGGGAAGGTTATCGATGAATGATGGGGTGGTGGGTGGCTCAGTGGTTAGCATTGCTGCCTCACAACACCAGGGACCTGGGTTCGATTCCACCCTCAGGCAACTGTCTGTGGGAGTTTACACATTCTCCCTGTGTCGGCATGGGTTTCCTCCAGGTGCTCTGGTTTCCTCCCACAGTCCAAAGATGAGCAGGCTAGGTGGATTGGCCACACTAAATTGCCCATAGTGTGCAGGATAGTTGGGTTAGCCATGGGAAATGTGGGGTTACAGGGTTAGGATGGTCTCTGTGGGATGCTCTTTGGAGGGTCAGTGTGGACTTGATGGGCCAAATGGTCTGCTTCCACACTGTAGGGATTCTATGAAGCAGCTGAAGATGGTTGAGCCTAGGACACTACCCTGAGGAACTCCTGCAGAGTTGATTGGGCTTCAACATCATTACCATTTTCCTTTGTACTGGGAATGACTCCAAGTAGCAGGGAGTTTTCTCTTTGATCCTCATTGACTTTTATTTTCCAGGGATCCTTGATGCCACACTCTGTCAAATGCAGCCTTGATGTCTAGGGCTGTCACTCTGACCTCACCCTTTGGAATTCACCTCCTTTGCCTATGTTTTGACCGAGGCTGCAATGAGGTCAGGAGCGGAGTGGTTCTTGCAGAATTCAAATGAATTGAAGACAGCAATTGTCATCATTCACGTGCTCAACTGTTTCTTGAGATCGTGTGGAGTGAATCAAATTGGCTGAACACTGCTATCTGTGACGCTGGGGACCTCTGGAGGAGGCTCAGTTGGATCATCCACTTGGCACTTCCGGCTGATGATGGATGTGAATCCTTAAGTGTTTGCCCTGATGTGCTGGGCTCCCCCATTACTGAGGATGGGGATATTTGCAGAGTTTCCAGCTCCTGTTTGTAGAAGTGTCAATACTCACCATAAATCTGTAAGATTGTGAAGCTTTGATCTGATCTCTGTTGGCGTCGGATCACTTAGCTCTGTGTGTTGCATGTCAATTTCATAGGTTGCTGTGCAAGCAACCAGTTTGATAGCTTCGCAAGACTAATAACAAAGTCCAATATTGCACAAAACACATTCCCGACATGAACCTGAAGTGAGCAAACTGCCTCCTTTCTCCATTTTCAGTCTTTGCATTCCATCCTTTGACGACCTATAGCAAATCACAAAATTGCAGGATGAAATTCAAAGCAATAGAACCAATTTCTTTTCAGTTTTAAAAATGCAACAGGTGAAAATATATTATACACTTGAATTTACCCTCAGCAGTGTTTGTAATATAACTGTTTAACACATTCTTACAGTCTGCCTATATCCAACACTTTTAAATGGAGCAGGTTAATGATTGCATTAAAACAGCACAGCATGGGGAACGGCAGAGTAATCAGAAAACGGCTCATAAGAATGTCTTAAGCTTTGTTTTCATTCTAATGAGGGGCCATTATCTTTGTCGATCCGAGACAGGCTTGGCATCAACTGGGCATCAACCAGGAGCCGAGGTTGGCACAGTGTTGACGGCCTGGTTTCAACATCAGCCAGTTTCCCCCTGTCACTCAGCACTTGACCGGCTCACTCCCTGGAAAGTTCCAGCTCTATTTACTCAGGACGGTGGTGGCGAATTGGCCCATTGTTTCGCTCCGA